GATTTCTTTGAAACAGTTATTCGTGTCCAAACAGTTAATTTTAAGCTTTAGAGACTAATAACCGCATACTTTTGGGCACGTGCGCCTTTCGCAGGAAGCCACAAATATCAATTTAGAATTTAAAAGAAAATACTTCGTGTTATGAGCCTGGTAGAGGATGTACTATAGTCTGAGAGAACATCTTGGTATCTAGCACATCATTTTTTCTGTGACTTTTTTAAAATGGTTCCTCGTGTAGTAACATGTGAATCTGCGCTCTCTTGGCTAAGACCCACAGACTTTTCGGGCATGTGCGCATTTCACAAGATGCCACAACCATCAGCTGAGGAGATACAAATTGTCTATATTCTCTAGCTAGTTACGACTTGTACTGTACGACGAAAGTAGATGATTTTTTTTTCGTTCTTTCGTGTTTGTTATGTGCTTCTTTATGTAAAAGTACTGCTGATTTTGCTTTGGGCAGTTGCCCTTCGCCTATAATGATTCAGAAGATGTGAAAGGCGTGACTGTCCTCTGGTTGTCCCGCCTCTTTAGCAAAAATGTATGGTTAGGTAACAAGATGGCGTGTCATGAGCTTTGAGCGGGCTCGAGGATCCATAGTTCCGGATGACGACGAGTACGTGCTAGAGGCCGGGCATTCGAAAAGGACACCCTCAAGGTCCAACACACGCCTCTGGCGTCACGTCACAAAAGTTTCTCTGCTCTGAGCGCATCTCCAAACACTTTTCCTTCACTCGAAGCTGGTTTCTGCGTAGACGCAGTGTCCCCAGCTGGTGGAGACGATCCCTGACTTTTTTTGTAGGCAGCGTGCTGGTGTTTACATCATTCCAAGTGTGGCATTCTGGTTAGAGCCGCACGTCTGTGTCAGCACGCGCATGTCCCGCGTGAAGGCACCCTTCATTCCCGCGCTTGCATTTACAGGTGCATACCCAGTCATGGTGGGGATACGCGTCTTCTCGTAAAATAACTTGAAATGTCTTCACGTGATTCAGGTGATGATTTGTTGACTACTAACATGATTCAGTTTCACCATCTTAGGGAAGCACGGGACGCCTGATTGGAGTGCACCTTGTCGGATTCGGGCAGTTTCCGAGGCGCCTTTCAGCCCGTGGGATATTTGGCTGTGTACCTGTATCGTGCTTCAATCTCCCGTTTTTAATGCGAAAGCCTTAACTTTTCCATGGAGCGAGCCAACGTCATCAGCTTCGAAACTGCGCCAAACGGCACCTTAATTTTTTTTCTCTAAGTGAAGGCAGCTTCCAGCTATAAAACCACGTGAAAAGCCTAGCCAAACGGCACCTAGTTCCCTTATCCCAAAGGAGCGGAGTAAAGCTGATGGATGTCGGCTTCGGTCTCATTGGCTGGCGCGCGTCGACGAGGCTCCCATTGGACCCTGCGCCGCAGAGTGAACCGACGACGCCACCAGTGACTAGCAGTGGACTTTTTCCTCCGTTGCAACGGACCACTGCTCCCCCCCCGGAGCATCTGCTCCAACGCCTTCCCATGTGGCACACCCGAGACTACAGCCATCTTCCTGATACTCCGCCACTAACAGTGGTGAGTCCAGAACTGCCTTCACCCCTAGAGGACGAACTCATACGACCCTTGGACTTAGTCCTCCATGACCCCCACCCTGTACTAGTTACCATAGCTGGCCAACCCATATTGGCCGTGGTCCAAGACGTTATAGATCCCCCGGACCTACTCCTCCAGGCCCTTAAGGCTGCCGACATACCGCTCCCGTTGCATGTGCAACCTCCTCCTCCTTCTCTTGAACCGTCCACCTCGGACCGTTCTCGTTCCTCCTCCTCCCTCTCCTCCTTGGAGACGGAGGAGGAGGACACTTGGGTCCTCGCGGCCGACCGCATTTTGCGGTGGCTTCACGACAACGACTCCGATGAGCCCTCGCAAGGGGACGACGAGTCGCCCGAAGAGGACTCACGCCTCTACCTTCTCCCTGGCCCCCCGTGGCAACCAGTCCGAGCTAGTGCTCCTCCACCCAATGTTAATTGGGATCTTACTGCCGACACTTTTGGATTTTATCCCCCCGCGGATTACGGCAACCTGCGCGTACGTTGTACCGCCTCCTCGGTTGTAAACAACCGCCCTCCTCCCGCTGACCAACTACCGGTCTTACGCGCTGCAGTCGCGTCAATGGCCGCCTCCGGCCTTATCCGTCCAACCCGCAGAGGCCCGTACTTGAGCCCTGTCCAGCTTGCCCCCAAGTCGACTACCGAGTCGAGATTCATTCTCGATGCAAGCCACTTGACGCCGCATTTAGCGGCCCCCCCCCTTTCGTCTTGACCCCCTCCCAAAAGTCCTCCTCCAGGTCCCCCTTCCACCTAATGCATATTTCACTAAGGTGGACCTGGCGGAGGCCTTTTACCACGTTAAGCTGCATCCATCTGCCCAGAAGCTTACGACTTTTCGAATAGACGGGAAGTATTTTTCTTTTACTAGACTCCCTTTTGGGCTCCGCCCTGCACCTTTCATAATGCAGTCGCTAGCGACAGCTTTTGCCCGCACGCTTCGTGCACGTGGAGTCTGGGCTTGGGCCTACGTCGATAACTTTCTCCTTGCCCACCCTGACTCCTCGTTTCTTGCATACCACACCGACCTTTTTGTCCAGCAGCTAATCAACTGCGGTTTTCATATAAACCCTAAGGACACGTCCCTCGTTCCCGCCAGGACGATCAAATTCCTTGGATTCCGACTCGACACTGCAAACTCCACTATCGCCCACACGGCACAACGAGTCGAATCCCTAGCAGCTACGCTGCCCTTGCTCGCCCAACCTTGTTCACTTGCGCAGTACCGCCGCCTTGCCGGACTTTGGGCGTTTTATTTTTCGTTATACCGGTCGGGCTACAGTGCTCTCCGCCCCCTTTTTGAAAGCGCCCTCACCAACCGCCCCCCCCCCCCCCCCCCCAGTGGCTCCTCGTGTTCGGCGAACTATGGCGCAGCCTCCCCCACACACTGCCGCTAGTTCCCACCACGCCTGTGAACGTTTCCTTTGCGGACGCATCGAACGATGGACTAGGAGTGGACACTCCAAGTTCAGCCCTCGCCATCCTGACCCGCCATGACCCGCGCATCTACCTTCGGGAGGCCCTGGCCTGGACCATCGCAGCACTCCTCGTCCCCCCCTGCACCATCATCTTCACGGATAACCAGGCCCTCCGACAAGCCATCACGAGCGGCCACCTCCGAGCCCTGCCTTGGCAGTTGACTGTAGCGATCACAGCTCTCACAATAAAAAGAGATCTGCGAGCAAAGTGGCTACCTACTGACCGGAACCCCGCCGACATGCCCTCACGCCTTCCGCACCACTTTTCCGCCCATTCCCTTACGGGATTGGCTGGGGGCATGCCGGAGGGGGGAGAGGAGGCTTCTGCTATAAAAAGCTTGAGCCTTTCTCTCTCCGGTCAGTTGGTCGACTGAGCGTGTCAGAGCCCCGTCTTGCTCCAAGATCCAGGTTTCAAACCTGGATCCTGGAGCAAGACGGGGCTCTGACACGCTCAGTCGACCAACTGACCGGAGAGAGAAAGGCTCAAGCTTTTTATAGCAGAAGCCTCCTCTCCCCCCTCCGGCATGCCCCCAGCCAATCCCGTAAGGGAATGGGCGGAAAAGTGGTGCGGAAGGCGTGAGGGCATGTCGGCGGGGTTCCGGTCAGTAGGTAGCCACTTTGCTCGCAGATCTCTTTTTATTGTGAGAGCTGTGATCGCTACAGTCAACTGCCAAGGCAGGGCTCGGAGGTGGCCGCTCGTGATGGCTTGTCGGAGGGCCTGGTTATCCGTGAAGATGATGGTGCAGGGGGGGACGAGGAGTGCTGCGATGGTCCAGGCCAGGGCCTCCCGAAGGTAGATGCGCGGGTCATGGCGGGTCAGGATGGCGAGGGCTGAACTTGGAGTGACCACTCCTAGTCCATCGTTCGATGCGTCCGCAAAGGAAACGTTCACAGGCGTGGTGGGAACTAGCGGCAGTGTGTGGGGGAGGCTGCGCCATAGTTCGCCGAACACGAGGAGCCACTGGGGGGGGGGGGGGGCGGTTGGTGAGGGCGCTTTCAAAAAGGGGGCGGAGAGCACTGTAGCCCGACCGGTATAACGAAAAATAAAACGCCCAAAGTCCGGCAAGGCGGCGGTACTGCGCAAGTGAACAAGGTTGGGCGAGCAAGGGCAGCGTAGCTGCTAGGGATTCGACTCGTTGTGCCGTGTGGGCGATAGTGGAGTTTGCAGTGTCGAGTCGGAATCCAAGGAATTTGATCGTCCTGGCGGGAACGAGGGACGTGTCCTTAGGGTTTATATGAAAACCGCAGTTGATTAGCTGCTGGACAAAAAGGTCGGTGTGGTATGCAAGAAACGAGGAGTCTGGGTGGGCAAGGAGAAAGTTATCGACGTAGGCCCAAGCCCAGACTCCACGTGCACGAAGCGTGCGGGCAAAAGCTGTCGCTAGCGACTGCATTATGAAAGGTGCAGGGCGGAGCCCAAAAGTGAGTCTAGTAAAAGAAAAATACTTCCCGTCTATTCGAAAAGTCGTAAGCTTCTGGGCAGATGGATGCAGCTTAACGTGGTAAAAGGCCTCCGCCAGGTCCACCTTAGTGAAATATGCATTAGGTGGAAGGGGGACCTGGAGGAGGACTTTTGGGAGGGGGTCAAGACGAAAGGGGGGGCCGCTAAATGCGGCGTCAAGTGGCTTGCATCGAGAATGAATCTCGACTCGGTAGTCGACTTGGGGGCAAGCTGGACAGGGCTCAAGTACGGGCCTCTGCGGGTTGGACGGATAAGGCCGGAGGCGGCCATTGACGCGACTGCAGCGCGTAAGACCGGTAGTTGGTCAGCGGGAGGAGGGCGGTTGTTTACACCCGTTGGACCATCGCAGCACTCCTCGTTTCATCCCGGACCGGCGCCCCCAACGATGGAAGCCCTTTGCCGGCAACTACGCCGCCTGGTCCTACGAGCCGTGTCCCCTTCGGTTCTGTCCCAGCCCCGCCGTCTGGACCGATGGCCCCCGGGCCCTCCGGCGCTGCAGCGCCGGCAGCACAGGAGCTCGTTTCTGCGCTCACCCTCGCCCTTCGGGCTGCCTTTCCGGACCCGCCAGCCCGACGTGCTCGTGTCACCCAGATGGCGCAGCCCATCCCCGACGCCACGACAGATGACGACGAGGAGGACCTCCTCTTCCACGGCTTCCCCTCCACCCAGGACCCAGTCGGACGCTACCGCGCCCGCATCCCTGATGACTCCGACCATGGTTCGAGTAGTAGCTCCGAGTCCCCACCCCGTCGCGACCCCCGCTACCCACGCCACGTCAACCCCACCCGTGCCCCTACCGGAAGTAGAGGCCAGCGGTTGTTTACCACCCGCGACCCACCCACCCGCAGAGACTTCAGAAACGCTCTGCTCTACGTCGACCGAGCAAGTCGACAGTCCCGATTTTTCGGGACCCGTGACGTCGTTGAGTTACAGACTCTCGAACTCTTCTTGCAAGTCTGGGATTCAGATCCCCCCCTCCGACCTTCAGCCAAGCTCCGAGTGTTTGACAGGGTCCGCCTCTTATACCACGTGGCCCTCACCGGCTGGCAGACCGCCCTCCAGGGCTACGCTGACCCTACCGCATCCTACCTTCTGGGAGCCCCGCTCCCCACTCAACAGCCCCCCCCTCCAGCATCCGACCGGCCCTCCAGGCAGCCCAACCGTGGCCGAGGTGGAGCCACCCGCGGCAATCGGCCCAGACAGCCGACTACCCGTGCCCGCGACGTCCCTGACGCCGCAGAGTGAACCGACGACGCCACCAGTGACTAGCAGTGGACTTTTTCCTCCGTTGCAACGGACCACTGCTCCCCCCCCGGAGCATCTGCTCCAACGCCTTCCCATGTGGCACACCCGAGACTACAGCCATCTTCCTGATACCCCGCCACCAACAGTGGTGAGTCCAGAACTGCCTTCACCCCTAGAGGACGAACTCATACGACCCTTGGACTTAGTCCTCCATGACCCCCACCCTGTACTAGTTACCATAGCTGGCCAACCCATAGTGGCCGTGGTCCAAGACGTTATAGATCCCCCGGACCTACTCCTCCAGGCCCTTAAGGCTGCCGACATACCGCTCCCGTTGCATGTGCAACCTCCTCCTCCTTCTCTTGAACCGTCCACCTCGGACCGTTCTCGTTCCTCCTCCTCCCTCTCCTCCTCGGAGACGGAGGAGGAGGACACTTGGGTCCTCGCGGCCGACCGCATTTTGCGGTGGCTTCACGACAACGACTCCGATGAGCCCTCGCAAGGGGACGACGAGTCGCCCGAAGAGGACTCACGCCTCTACCTTCTCCCTGGCCCCCCGTGGCAACCAGTCCGAGCTAGTGCTCCTCCACCCAATGTTAATTGGGATCTTACTGCCGACACTTTTGGATTTTATCCCCCCGCGGATTACGGCAACCTGCGCGTACGTTGTACCGCCTCCTCGGTTGTAAACAACCGCCCTCCTCCCGCTGACCAACTACCGGTCTTACGCGCTGCAGTCGCGTCAATGGCCGCCTCCGGCCTTATCCGTCCAACCCGCAGAGGCCCGTACTTGAGCCCTGTCCAGCTTGCCCCCAAGTCGACTACCGAGTCGAGATTCATTCTCGATGCAAGCCACTTGACGCCGCATTTAGCGGCCCCCCCCTTTCGTCTTGACCCCCTCCCAAAAGTCCTCCTCCAGGTCCCCCTTCCACCTAATGCATATTTCACTAAGGTGGACCTGGCGGAGGCCTTTTACCACGTTAAGCTGCATCCATCTGCCCAGAAGCTTACGACTTTTCGAATAGACGGGAAGTATTTTTCTTTTACTAGACTCCCTTTTGGGCTCCGCCCTGCACCTTTCATAATGCAGTCGCTAGCGACAGCTTTTGCCCGCACGCTTCGTGCACGTGGAGTCTGGGCTTGGGCCTACGTCGATAACTTTCTCCTTGCCCACCCAGACTCCTCGTTTCTTGCATACCACACCGACCTTTTTGTCCAGCAGCTAATCAACTGCGGTTTTCATATAAACCCTAAGGACACGTCCCTCGTTCCCGCCAGGACGATCAAATTCCTTGGATTCCGACTCGACACTGCAAACTCCACTATCGCCCACACGGCACAACGAGTCGAATCCCTAGCAGCTACGCTGCCCTTGCTCGCCCAACCTTGTTCACTGGCGCAGTACCGCCGCCTTGCCGGACTTTGGCCGTTTTATTTTTCGTTATACCGGTCGGGCTACAGTGCTCTCCGCCCCCTTTTTGAAAGCGCCCTCACCAACCGCCCCCCCCCCCCCCAGTGGCTCCTCGTGTTCGGCGAACTATGGCGCAGCCTCCCCCACACACTGCCGCTAGTTCCCACCACGCCTGTGAACGTTTCCTTTGCGGACGCATCGAACGATGGACTAGGAGTGGTCACTCCAAGTTCAGCCCTCGCCATCCTGACCCGCCATGACCCGCGCATCTACCTTCGGGAGGCCCTGGCCTGGACCATCGCAGCACTCCTCGTCCCCCCCTGCACCATCATCTTCACGGATAACCAGGCCCTCCGACAAGCCATCACGAGCGGCCACCTCCGAGCCCTGCCTTGGCAGTTGACTGTAGCGATCACAGCTCTCACAATAAAAAGAGATCTGCGAGCAAAGTGGCTACCTACTGACCGGAACCCCGCCGACATGCCCTCACGCCTTCCGCACCACTTTTCCGCCCATTCCCTTACGGCATTGGCTGGGGGCATGCCGGAGGGGGGAGAGGAGGCTTCTGCTATAAAAAGCTTGAGCCTTTCTCTCTCCGGTCAGTTGGTCGACTGAGCGTGTCAGAGCCCCGTCTTGCTCCAGGATCCAGGTTTCAAAACCTGGATCCTGCGCGTCAGATTCAACGACCGCCACTCCATGGCCCTGCGTGTCCTCGCCCAAGGTAAGCGCGCCGTGGACAGCGCGCGCGGTCGACCGTCGACGCAAGTACGCCGCAGACGAGATAAGGGAGCGGAAGAGCGGCGTGCATGCTTTCGCATTCACAACTCATAAGAAGTGCCTAGGTGTACCGCGAGCCTTTTTAGAGCGCAGCTCTTAGGGGCCCGTTCCCGGCTTGAGCGGCGTCGCCGTCAGCGTCGCCGTTGGCGTCGCCGTCGGCGTCGGCGTAACCAAGGTCATCCCAAGGTCACGTGACCCCCAAGGTCACGTGACCCCTCCCAAGGTCATCTCAAGGTCACGTGACCCCCTGAAGGTCACGTGACCCCTCGAGGTCACGTGACCCCTTCCAAGGTCATCTCAAGGTCACGTGACCCCAAGATGACCCCACGTGACCCTTTGAAGGTCACGTGACCCCCAAGTCACGTGACTCCTCTGAGGTCACGTGACCCCCGAGGTCACGTGGTCGCATCCCCAAGGTCACGTGACCCCTTCCAAGGTCATCTCAAGGTCACGTGACCCCACGTGACCCCCAGGTCACGTGACCCCTCTGAGGTCACGTGACCCCCCGAGGTCACGTGACCCCTCCAGGTCACGTGACCCCCAAGGTCACGTGGGGGTCACCTTTGGGGTCACGTGGCCTTGAGGTCACCCCCAGGTCACGCCTCCCCGAGGTCACGTGACCCCCTCCCCGAAGTCACGTGACACCCCCCCGGAGCATATTAAAGAATGAGGGGAGGAGGAGGAGAAGGGGGAGGGGTCTACCCTCCCCTCAGTACCCTTCACTCCTCCTCCTCAAGAGCTGCGCTCCAATTCGGCGTTACAGGGATTTGTAAACGGCTTTCACTTTTGTACATGTCTTTTGTTATTTAACAGAAATATTAAAGAATTACACATCAAACTCAACAAGAAAAGAGAAATATACATATGACTTTTCATTGTGCGCGATATTTAAGCCACTGCTATATTTATGTTGTTACCCTTCTCATCCGGTTGCTTGTTGCTGAGTCAACTCTCTTTATGATAGTTATGTTAGATTAGTTTTGCTACTCACGGGTGGAAAACTTGTGAGCCTGGTCTACTGGTAAGACTGGGTCGCCTATACCTCGTTTCACCTTAAGCCCAGACGCAGCCGACACTACGGAGACTATCAGAGAACGTCAAAACTGCGCCATCACGGTGTTTCTCATGATACTGCACCTGTTCTATCATTTCTGAACCAATCATTAACAAAATACTTAGTGACTTGCGCTTCTGACGCTGCCTGATTCTTCCTGTCAAATCATAGCGTGGGCCTTGTCTTGTCTTAGATTGAAAGAAAGTATACTCCAGCAGTTAGAGTTCGAGCGTTTCATAATAATGTCGCAGGGTATTAAGCGAGCACCAGTGTTCGAGCACTGCAATGTATCCGAGACTTGAAAACTTCAGACGCGGACAAAGCAATCTGTCACGCACACGACTCAAACACTGAGTGTGCGGTGACTTCAATTTAGAATGAATACCACCACTGTCGAAATATTTAACTATCATTTACGCGAAAGCCCCATCAATCTAGTACAATATAAGTGTTGGCTTATAAACTCTGCCGACCTTGTGTGACACAGTATTGAAACTAACGTGTTACAATTAACGACGGTACTGGTAACGCGTTAGTTTTTTTTTCTAACGTAGCAACGTACTCGTTGGAATCCCAAACAACAAACGAGTAATATAATGTCGTTATTATTTAACGACGATATCTTCTATCCAATTACGTCACGATGTTGCTGGTTAATTTTGATTAAAAATGGCCGCATGATTATTTGTAAGCAAAATAATTGTAATTCTTTGCAATACGCAAGAATGACAAAGAAACTTCAACATAGCTGTGTATAAGCGGCGTCATTTCAAACTCCTTCGGAAGACACTTTTAACGTTCCCACGACAGGGCCCAAATCGGCGCGAGATTATCACTGCGCGGAACCCCTAAGCGTGCTTGGCGCAGTCTTTGTATAGAGGCTGCTAAGATCACCGTCGCCGTACCCTCATCAGGGGTCCATATCAGATCAGCGAATGACGTTTTAGGAAACAGCGCCATTTAAGCGAATCGACACTTTAGCGAAAAACAGGTGCGCGTTTGACCAATCCACCCCGCGCTGCGCTTACGCCGCTTGGCGGCGGCTGTCTGCGGCGGCTCATAACAAAAATGTGTACCCACTTAAAGCACCCGCAAACGCCGCTTCGCAACGGCCGAACATTGTCTAAAGTGACTTTCAATAAAAAGTGCCCGTTCGCTAAAATGTCGTTCGACCAAACTGAGTGCCCCCCTCCCCTCCCCCCCCCCCCCCCCCCCACACACACACACACGCAGAGAGAAGCCTCTTTGTGGAAAGAGACATCCGTTCAGAAGGCAATAGTCTGCCGCCGCTGGAAGAACTTTGCCTGAGCGTCCCGGGCTTCTCCAGCTGGTCACACCCTTCTTTTCAAAACAAATCCTCGTTCCGTCAACAACAAAATGAATAAACTCTAAGTTTGGAATCGTTCACGTTCCCAGGCTTTTATCTAGAACAAGTGTGTCAGCGACGGCCGGGTGCTGACGTGACGATAATTGGAAATGCGACGTTGGTTTACGAAGGAATAAAACAACGTTTATTTTACGGAATTAACTTGGATTACATTAAGAGGTCGATTTGGCATCCGTTACGTGGTGTGTATCTGGTCGTTCTTTTCAAAGCCGTTTCTTCTTCCCAGGTGCTATGGGCAAGGTTCAGTTCTCCGAATCGCACTCGCGAAGCGTCACGTGTCCGTTGATATGCGTTACACATCCTGCCGATGCAAGACAAACAAGCTGGGCTAAGCGACACGTGTTCTAGGATATACATTGCACATCCTGCCG